TGTTGTTGGGCAATAATTTTTGTGCCACTTTCACAAATGGATGCAGCAATTTACTCCGCATATTTGTTGTTGAAAAAGTATTAACTGATATTCTGCACTTTTTATTCCTAAATCATTCGAATATTTCAATTTTTAAAATGATGTTTTGCTTGGTTCAGGGAATCGGAGAACGTTCCATTGGTATTTATGTAAAGAAAGTTGTGGATGGTAGTGCCGCACATCGAGTTTGCTTTCCGTTTTTCACATTTTTTTATTCTAATTGCTATACTTGAAAAATTTTTTTATATCATTCATTACAGAACTACATAACTAGCTAGCAGGTTGTATTTGACAGCCTGCAAACAAGTTTGAGAGTAGTTTTATTGAATGCGTGAGATAAGTGATTGTAAAAATTCTCAAGAAATTTAACATTTTTTAGGTCCATCACGTTTCAAAAATATCTGTGCTAAGATAAAGAATTTTTTAATTACTGATTAGGGCCTAAAAAAATAAAAAAACTGAACAAAGTTTTTGAAATTTCGAAATCTAAAAAATTGTTAATTTTAAGGATGGTCGTCTAGAATCTGGAGATCAGCTACTTTCTGTCAATGGCCAGTCACTTATTGGCATCAGCCAAGAAGAGTATGTTTTGAAATATATTGTTAGATTTCATTTATTATTCAGTAAAAATTAAAAATTCCATTTAATAAATATAACCAAATTACCAATACAGTAGGAATAATGTGTTTGTTCGTTTGTATAAATAGTTGACAGTTTTTTATTACAATTCTTTGAAGTGGTCTATTTATTAAAAAAAAAAAACAAATCTTTGTCCCTTAATTTATTGAATTCACATCATGTAAACGGAACTGATCTTTTTTCGCCATTGTTTGATGTATAAAGAAAGTTTTTTATGGTATATGTTATAACCATTTTAGGAAAATTTTGCAATGTTTTATATTCTCAAGGATGAATGGATGATAACGATGTAGTAATAAAAGAGGAAAAATGAATGAATGATGACAGGGTTGTTGTCGCCTCGCATTTGTAAAACGAGAAAATTGGTATTTTAGACGTGGAATCAATTATTCATATATTCATTTTTAGGGCGGCATCGAAAATGTCTTCGAGTGGACCGATCGTATCATTTGAGGTATATAAGCATGCCGCACGATACAATGGTCTTTACGAATGGTTAAATAATCCTCCACAAGCGCAAGTACCATCATCAGGCATCCATTCTATTACGCAAGTTGGTCTTTTTAAGACCTGTTTGTTTTCAAAGTTTATCCCTTTCCATCTTCCTTCTTTGTTTCTAATTGCTGGGATAAAATACAGACCGATATATATGAGACAGTCGCCGAAGAAGAAAATCCTGTGCATATCGTGACTTATCCGAATTGACAGGTGTCTTTGTACAGTCATGATATTGTTACCGAATTGTCGCAATATTTTGCGAATTTGATTCGGCAATCTATTATCCTTTATCCTAAATACAATGAAATTATGAAGAGTTTACGTCCCAAAGGTCTCTCTAATCAGCCGGAAAAGATGTTTAGATGTAATCTATGGTATAAAAGATTTGAATAAGCCAAAAGGACATTGCCCGCTGTTGATCGTGAGGAACAAAATAATTAGTAAAATTACCGAAATTTATCGTCATTGCTTGTAAGTTATTGTGTTTCAGGCAGGTCAACTACCTTCTGGTCAACAGTCAACGATGCAGAACTCTTCAGCGAACGTAGTTATTAACGGTGACCATATGCATTTGTTATTGTTAGATCTCTAAAGTCTTATTTAAAAAAAGCAGCAGGAATTTGGTTTCACTATCCGAATAACTGTTATTATAACACAGATTTACTACTTGCTGTTTAAAAAATAAGGAAACATTCTTTCAATTCCAAATTCAATTAGCATACAATCTATTTTGAATCAAATTATAGCTTTTAACTGTCGAAACTTATTCCGTTTTACCTAATACTTTTGCACTGTATAATTTGTACGTAAATCACTTTGTGTTTTAACTTGAACATTTTTGACCGCATGTATGAGTCATTATATATATATGAAATTATTGTTCTATATATTACAGCTTCTACCAACACTCAGCGATTTTCACCCCAAAATTCAGCTACGTCGATGACTTCTAATTATTCCAGTAACGCCCATTTCAACTTTATGGTATTGTTCTAAAAACGTTCAATTATTTTTTTAATAATTTCATGTTTACAAAATTCTTTGCAACTTCAATATATGGTTGTAAATTAAAGGTAGCCATATCAGCTTTACATGTGCTAAGTTAGTTACTTTGCTGCGACATCATTTATCACAAAAACATTTGATAAGAAATATTCTGGTACAGTAATTTTGTTTTTCAGAAATCTGCACGTAATGGATATCCAGGAACAATGACTAATAATGTTTATCGGACACAGCCGTCACGTGGTACTACTATGATGACCGATCAACAACCTATCAAAAGTCGCTCAGCTTCAACATCTAACATTTATCAGAATCCGGTTCATTTTATCAGTTCTCAATATCATACAAGAAATTGACATAATTTTTTATTTTTTTTTTAATTATTACTTTCAGGTTGACAAAACATTGACGATATCTTTGACATCGTTGCAGCCATCTTCTGCTGCTACCACCGTTCCAGTACACTGTGAAAAATACCAAACAAATACAATAAATTCACAGCGTAGTATCATGCCATCTCATTATCGCAATGTTCGTCCCATCGTTATACAGCCTTCACGTCCTACACCATCACCAACTCTACGTCAACAGCAACAGTACCATTCACGATCACATTCTCCATCTCATCTTTATGCGAACTCTAATTTTTCCTCTTCCAATCATTATCAAAATTCAGCATTGAAAAATGCTTTGTCAGTAAGTTTTTTTTGTCTCTCCCTGAAATTTTCATCATGTAATATCTATGTTATTCCTTCACTTCAGATCTACTAACATGTTATCAATTTGTTGTTACCGTATGCAGTTTTCTATATTTCATACCAATGTTACTTATTCTGGTTATTATACCTTTCTGGTTATTAATTTTTCTCTGCATGGTACAGAAATGTTCCTTCCGTTAGCTCATTTAACAGAGTTCTTAAATCTAATTTTGCTCTAGTGAAGTTTGTTTTCTCTTAGTTTACTCTCATTTTAAACTAAAGTTTTAGAATGATTGGTTGATGGTTAAGAAAAATAAAAATTATATTCTGAAATTTAAAATTTTGAAAATTTGATGTTGTTTTTAACTTTTCTTGTTTCTCTCCCAAATTTTTGCTCCTCTTTACTTATTTGTTTGTTTTACAGTCCGAACATGTTCTGTCAAGTGCATCATCGTCACCAATTACCGACTACGCAAATTTACCCTTGATCGAGGATCATCATTCTGCATTCGAATCATCTTATTCTTCTACCTCTTCGCGCAATGCTCCATATCAACGTCCTTTTTCACACAATTCTACTCAGCAACAATTTGAGGCTTCACGAACCATTAATACAAATCCCACATTACGTGAGCAAAATTCGGTTGCTTCCACATCATCACACGATTCTGCTCGATCATCCATTGTTGCTACAACACAAGAATTAGGCGTGATGATGGATGAATGTTCAGGACGTCGGTTTACGAAGAAAGCACCACCTGTACCGCCGAAACGTCATATCACTGTAGGTTTTCCATGTGATTTCTTTTTCTGTTATTGCTGCGATAGTTTTTGGTTTGCCTTTTCAATATGTTGCGTATGTTTTTGACATCCAAAGCTGGTTTATGGTTACTTAAGTTTCTTTCCTTATGGAATTTATGATTTTTAATGTAGACTGAGACTTCTCTTATTCTGCAGAGGCGAGATGAGCTGAACGAGCAGTTGGATGAACTTGAATCAAAAGGTTCTGCAATGACTGAAGCGGATCATCAAAAATATCGTGAGCTTGTTAACGAGCTAGCAAAAATTCGCACACCATTTCCGATTGAATCAAATTCAAGTAAAAACATTTCTGAACAAGAGCAATCGAAATCCCTATCACCAGAGATTGTTATTCCTTCCAAACAGAACGATTCTTGCTTTGAACGGCCGAAAAACTCACCACTGTCAGAAAAATGTGAAAAGACATCAATAAAATTAGGTTGGTAGGAATTTAGACTAGATTTTGATCTATTTTTTCCTTTTATAATTTTGCATACACACTGCTGATTCTTATGATTAGGCATTCAGATAACATTTTCAGAAATGAATGAGATTGGAAAAATAACTGAACAACTGAAGCAAGATACTCCTGTAGTAGAAGCAGAGGGAATGCTGAAAGAAAAAGAAGATGCTTTATTGACCAGGTATATTTTCTTGGTTTAAATAGTAATCAAGTTTCTTTCATCTTTCAGATGGTCAGAACTTATCACAACAAACCTCATTGTTTGATAATTCCTTTAATTTCATCTTTTATTTGTAATAATTAATCACTGCAAAATTTTTTTAGAAAGAACTCCGATAAGACGCTAATGAAAAAAAAGGGAGTGCAATGGGATGACAAAGTTGACAGTGATAGTCAGCTTATTTATGAAGATGACGATCAACAGGAACCAAGAACTCAAGTAAATTTTGTTATTCATAAAATAAAAATATTAATAGTATTTTATTTATTTCTTGATTCATTTATCTCTTATTTACTTTCAGGTACTTGGTACCCAGGAAGTATATCGAGATCCACGACAGGCACGTCTCATTGAATTGGAAGCAAAACAACATGCAGCAAAAGAAGCAAAGGTGATTTCTGGTTTAAAATAAAAAATTTGGACTCCACTGGTGACATTCTTTAGCTCACTGAACAATTAGTGGATATTGATTCTCTAGGAACTGTAGCAGGAATTAAAAAAATT